GTTAAATGGAAATTTCAACGACTGCTATACTAAGGAAAAATTCGCAGCGTAATTCTAATTTTGAATTGTATTGAATGAGATGAATCATTAATAATATTTTACAGACACAAACACAATTTCAAGTGCAGCTGAATCCAAATAAATTTTTTTCTTTTAATTTAGCTGTCTTAAATTTTGCCGCCCCTTAATTCTGCCGCCCTAGGCTTCAGCCTATGTTGCCTGTACGATAAATCCGCCACTGTATATACTATATAGAGAAGGCAGAGCTGGTCCTACTCTAAATTACATGTTTATAGCCGAAAAAGCCAAGCGGCATTACGTGGCCATTGCAATATCACTCTTTGCTAGGCTTACAGGACTTAAAATATCGAAAGAATGAGACTGTTGATGGGGGCTAGGTTAGGGCTCTTAAAGGTCAATAAACGAGACAGGCAACTGTTTAGAGAGCGTATAAGGAAAATGTACCAATACACCAGGATTTCTAAATGAGATATTTGTGAGAAAGAAAAGGCGAAAAATAGTTTAAATCTATTTTATTTAAAAATTAATGAAAAACTAATAAATTTGGTGCAACTCAATGCCAAAAACTCTGAATGCGTCAAATCAAATGCATTAATCAAAAGGATAAAAATACTGTAGAGGAAAAATTTCTCTACATAATTGCAGTGCTTGTAATAATTTTCATTATCATCACCTTAATTTCATTTCCATTTCACTTATTTGAAACGAGTAGTAACAAATAATGAATTTTCTACTGACCCTACTTACACGCCGCCCAACACTCACTTTGTGCACTGCATCTTACCAGCCAGCAACAGTTCAACTCAGTGGATTTAAGTTCAGTCAGGTGATGAACTCAATTTTATTGTACAGCACAAGCAATGTTTAGCAACCCAAATGCGGTTACTGCTAATGCACAAACACAAGTGACATTTATGTACAACAACTAAGATGGAAATCTACATTTAGATACCTACATATGTATATACATACATATGCACATACATACACCGTACACATCATCACAAAATGCTTTGTATTGCCGTTCAATACACTGTGCTTGCTTTCACTGCATTCACTCTCAATATTCATTGAGTCTATGTAATCCTCTGCTCAGTGTTCAGTTTCGGTGCTGAAAGTCCATTGTCCAATGCAGTTGTTCACAACCGGTGGTTTGCGGAATACTGGTGGTCCTTGGAAACGCCCGCAGTGGCTGGATTGCTTTGATATTGCGTTGAAAATAGTTATAAAGTAGCCGACTTCATTAAAGAGAACGGACTTCACACTCATCTTGTGCTCTGGCATAAAATCAGAACACGAAACGGGAAAATTTATTATCAAAGTAGGGTCGAATAATGCTATAATATAGCTATATATATATTTAGTATCTAGTATTTTAGTGTCAAAATTTAGCCCCTCTTCAGGGCAGGTATGATTTTGCTTAGCATAATTTAATTTATCGCAAGAAGACAGAGAGAGGTTCAGGAGCTTTGCAAGACACCCTTTCCACATTGCTTTTGAATGTGTTTTTATCTAGCGTTCGTTATTATATTGTCAGCCCGATGCTCATATTTCATTCACAACTTTTTTATTTTTCCATCGATTTTCTTCGTTAGTACATACCTTAATATTTTTTTGTAAAACAACAGGCTTTAACACAAATTAGAGATGGGCACGGAACCAGATATTCAATCGCGATCCCGCCGTTATTTTTTCCAAATTATAACGCGAGTCCCGATATTCCACACCGATCCCCAATACAAATGAAAAAACTTAAAAAAATTTGTACTTTTTTATTTGTTCCCTGTTAATGTTTGATTTTTTTCATTCGTAATGCAAATATCTTGATACAGAAAAAAACGCATCAATTGTGTTCGAGATAGAACAACCCATTATTTATTTACACTTATTATGCACACATATACTGCCTTCAAAAACATCGGTGGTCTGTGGAAAGGCAGATATTTTATCAAAAGGTTAAGAACCACTGGACCAGTGCATTCATCTAATAGTTATTGACCGATATTTTGTTTTGCTTATTTGCTGCAAGTTTTCTACTGTTGATTTATTTCTTGTTGTTTTTTGTTATTTTTCAATTCCATTTTACATTATTTGGTTTTGGTATTGTTTTCATTTTTATTTAGCACTTTTTGTTGTTGTACGTACATACATATACACACATATTTTCTACTTGAGCTGATTGAGCATCCAGCTGCGAACACAAATTGATTCCTCGCTTATTTAAGGGGCACACATGGATGCAATGGGACACACCTTGAAACAATATTTCATTATCCTGTCCCCGAGTTTGGTGCACTTACTTTGCTCGAGTGATTGACGGCTTGGTGTTTGCAAAAGTGTGAGTGAGTCAATCAGTGAATGTGTTTGTGTATAATTGAAAGGGTTGTTAAACACTAGCATTGTATATATAGAAAGGAAATTTCAGCATAAAATCAAAAGGAAAGAAACGTTACGGTTAGTTGCTAGTTGTTGCTGCTGACTAAGGCGGAAAATCGTGTCCATGTTCGATGATTCTTCGTATAATTCTACACTTAATTAGTAAATTGGAAAACTTTTGTATATTTTAAGAAGAAGTTCATCATAATTTGGGTCTAATCCAGATTTCCAGAAGGCATCTGAGATCAATCAGTCGGTAAATGAATAAGGTATTTGTACTCTGAAAATCGGTAGATAGATAATATCCATAAAATGAGGTATATAATATCACCTAAGAGTCAAATTATTGGTGAGCTCTTCTTTCATTTCTGAGCTCTTATTTAATTGCAGCTGAGCCTATGGCCAAGTAGAGCTCAGGATAAGGTCGCCACTTTCCTGGCTAGTCTGCCTGCTATCTCATTTCCCTTGTAACCTGGGATGCTATTGTAATTTACAAGGTAATTAAGTTTCTCTATCTACTCGTAGGTGGGCGTTGATGTGACTTTGAAGTATGAAAAGAGCCTTGAGTGCCGCCTTGCTATCGCTGAGGAGAGCTTTATCATAGTTCCTGCTCAGATTTATCTCCGTACACAGACTGATAGCATAAATGCTCGGATATCTTACCAATGGCATGGATATTCTAGCTCTCGAATCATAGACATCTGCTCATATGCTCTCGGAAGTTTTCGCACTTCTATATTGGAGGCACTACGAGCTGCTTTGCTTCACGCGGGACATCAGTATGCCAGTCTGCAAAGTAGGGCTGGCAGAAGCTATGCGCTTGATCTCTCTATCTTCTTGGGCGATATGACGTTTTCTCTGGCATAAAATATTATGCATAGATGCCCTAAGAGCACTTCTGCATTAAAAAAAATTTAATTTTCCCTTATTTTATTTTCGTATTTAGGGTTGGATATATACAAATTGTTGGATAAAGCCCAACATGTTCCGATAAGAAGATTTGGGTAGCAATTTACGCAACATTTTGGGCAAATACTCTATTGTGTGATCCGAATTTTACGAAGCATGGTTCGTTTTTGCTGCCTGCTATATAAGTAGTTAAGTGTACAGTCTCCAGCTCTCTCTACAGAGCTAACGTCACGACGGTCAAGTGCTCATAGCTCTCGTGTTAGGCTAAGCGCATAGTGGGGCGGCGAGGCAAGAGCATAGAGCAAAGCGTCGGTCTCAAATGCATATGTTTCAATGGGAGAGGGCATAGCGAAGAGAAAAGCTTGCATACACGTTTGTAATTGAAGTTTTTCTCGATGCTTCACTATGTACATATATATAAAAAATCATATATAAACAATCAGAGATATGGAAGATATACCTTATATAGCACCAATCTAAGTGATTTTGACTGCTGTGTGATCGGTATGTACACCGGTAACACAGTTTAATGATGTTAGCTTCCTATATAAAGGAGTCATATCATAAAAACTTTTATCTGAACAATCAGTGGTATAAGAGATAAAGCTTATAGAGCATCGATGTTGACGATTTTCTTGGTAGATTTTTTATGATTATTTATAAAATAGCTCACGAAATTTCTCGGTTTATGCTGTCCAAATAAAGGAGTTTTACAGTAAAACCCCATATCTGAACAATCAGTTGTATGAAGGCAATAAATAGGTGCGATCTTTCTCATTTTTGCGGTACACTTTATGTTGATAATGAGCGAAAATTGTGCTGTTTCTAGCTATATAAATGAAGGAGTTCTCTTTCTTTGCAATATTTACTCTATCTTATCAATTTATTTAAACTGCAATTTTCAAACAGTTGGAAACCCTCTAATCATTTTTCTCCTGTCTTTTACACGGCTAGCAGTGTACTGATGGCAATTTTATTCAATTTCATGCATTAGTTTTAGAGTGATGCGCATACAAACATACAGACAGACAGAAAAAATTTCTAAAAAATGTTGTTTTGGCTTCTGTTGCCCCAACAAAGTCCCCACATATAATTTTTCTTTAATATCAAACTATAATATACAGATATTGGCTTGCTACAATTTTATTATATGTATAGATTGTCAAGTTTGGTTTGGAGACAAACTAATTTCGACGTTGTGCCATCTGCATTGTAATTTTTCGTTCACTGAAGATGGCACAGTGCCGAAGGCCGTCTTGTCTACAAGCCAAACTTGACAAGCGATGACAGAAATTCGTTCTAAAGTAAATCATATTCCCGCCTTGTCGGGAAAATCAACAAAAAATTTATTATTTGAATCAGTATAATTTTCTGATGAAGTCCATATGATTTTTTTTGATCAGTTAGGAAATTATTTCGACCAGATTAACTGGTCTATAGCAGTTTTTATAACGATGAACTCAACCTACAAAGTTTATTATAAAAAAATATATATATTGTTGTAGCAATTAACAGCCCAACAGCGTCAAAGCGATAGTGAAATAAAGCTTAAATAATCTAAAAATCTAAATGAGATCCTAAAAGCTGAGGGGTACTCAATTTCTATTTTATATATTAACTAAGCCCCTTAACTTAAATAACTTACCGGAAATTATATTTCATTCAACTGATATTATATTCCTCTCATTTTTCAGATATTGTGCGCTTTGCAGAACCTGTCACATCTCAATTTACGCTCCTTCACTTCGTCCGCCGCCTACGCAGTGCCAGCTGCCAACGGAAACCACAAAACCTAAGCTACATATCCTCGAGCTGTGAATTGCAGGTGTGCTATTACCACTGCTACATTACAAAGTGCACCGCCGGCGTTGACAGTTGAAAAGAACGAAATTGACGCGCTGACAGGCAGCGGAAGGTGCTGAAAGTGGGCGACGAGGCAGAGTAGCCAGCGAAGAGACGATTTAGCGACGCAGGGCGTAGGCAACCAAAGAAACCATAAATATTATGTGAGTACTAAAGCGAAGTGGAGGTGTATGATAAAATGTTGAAACATGTTGCGCATACGCCATATTGCACTGACCTTTTCATTCACGCACACACACATATGCATGTGTACATATAGAAAAGCCACTATATGCAACTTACGCTAATTCGTGCATATTTTTTGCACTTTCTTACTTTCTTTACGTAGAATGTCTTGCACCGTATCAGAGCTGCCGTCGGGATGTCACCTTCGTGGCATCAGCACTTCTTCGTCGTCGGTAGTGGTGGCGGCGGCCGCAGCAGCAGCTGCACAGAGTGGTGGTGGTGGTGGTGGTGGTGGAGGCGTTGGTAGTGGTAGTGGGAGCAATAGTGGTGGTCACAATACGGGCGGCATACATGTGGGCGGCAAGCTCAGTACGACAAGTGCGATGGGCGCAACAACAACAAGTTCGCGCGGTGGTTCAACGGGGAATGCGGGGGCGAGCTTACTGCCCGAGACGATGATGACGGGCACGACGACGATGACGGCAGCGGCAGCGGCAGCAGCGGCGGCGGCAGCGATGACGGCAAACACAACACAACGACAGCAGCAACAATCACAGAAACCCTGCTGCTTTTGTTGGTGTTGCTGTTGCTCATGCTCGTGGTAAGTGGGGTCAACCGATTGGAAATGAAATAAAATCAAATGAAAAAGGCGAAGGGCTTCACTTGACGCTGGCACGCCGGCAGTGAGGGGCGGGGCGGGGCGCGGCGCGGCATTGTTTTGATATGCTTTGCACTTTCTTGCTGCTAAATATGTATTACACTTGAACGTTGAAATTCCACAGCTTGATGCATACTTTGAATTTCGTGTAACTGACAGTTTTCTATTTGCTCTCACTATTTTTCTCTTTTTTTTGTTCTTTTTTTTGTGTGTGCATATTTCTTGCGTTGGATGCTGTTGGCATATTGCTACCGTACATTGCAGGGCAAAATGGTGAGTAGAATTTATTAAAGATAATATTAAATTAGTTTTTAAGTGCTGAAGAATTTTACAAAGAGGATTTAAAATTCTTTACTACAAACTCAGAAGACTAAGTTAATAAAAAGTTAGAGAGGGAGAAACAGAAATTGCGTGGGACGTTGTGTGTATTTTTAGACGTGTGCTTGTATGTATAGCTACAAAGTGGAGCTAAATACAGAATCTGTTGGCGAAAGGTTTATCATACGACACGGTGTACCTACTGGACTTTTATTAATTTTGCTCACTGATTTAATACAATCAAGCTTTGCGTTTAAGCAGCTGGTCGCTATATTGGCATATCCTAAGTATTATTTATTCAACGCAAACTTATTATTTAAAAGTTTTAATTGCAGTAAATGAAGTTTGTTACAACGAACTGTGTACTGTAAATTAACCAATCTTAGATACGCAAATTACTTCGATTAGGGTAGGGTTGGATGAGCTATCGCTTGTTAGGGGGGAGGGGGGGGGGGGGAAGCACTCGTAAGCAGGTATGAAGAATGTTTAGTTTTGGCGCCGGTAAATTTTGGGAAATATTTAAGAAACGATGACTTGTTTTAGTCAAAATGTGTCTTATATTTTTGGATAAGAAACAACTGGTGATTTTTATTTTCTATTGCTTAGACATTAATAAATAAGTGAAAAATATATTTGTCATAGCTCCGAATTTTTTTTTAAATTTTCTCAGAACTAATTGTGAATTTTCGAAACAATTAGGGTCCTTTCGCGATTTTTGAAGAATTTAATTTTCTCATTGTTTCTTCTTTAAAAAATTATTCCTTCTTCTTACACTAACCACATAATCGTTTGTGGTTTACTATGTTTTTACTATTTGTTGGATACTCATTCGAACCACTGTTAAATATATAGAATTACGTATTAGTCAGTGCTCCAAATCAGTGCTAAGAGTTGATTTTTTCTTCGGTTAGGATATCTTGGCTGTACTCATTCATCACTGCGCACACTTAGGCTACCATGGGCTCATTGAGGTGACATATTGGAGACGCCTTGTGCCCCTGTTTTTATCTTAGAAATAAAACCATTGAGTAGCTCTCATAAAGCTCCCAAAATCGTAGATACTAGCAGAATCCGATTCAGCTAAACATGCAAAAGAGACTAGTAAAGAAACGAGCCTCGACGACCTCTCGCCAATGTAGAGCACAGAAATAGGTAGTGATCTACGCTTTAGATTTTTTCTGTATCATGTAAAACTGCATGGGACGCACCAACTCTATGTACATACATACAAACAGTTCACCATGTGAGGCTTCGAGCCGCATTTTTCCTCATTGCTGATTTACAGGTGTACAGGGCAGTAATAGATTTCTTGTTCTCTTCAACATTGCGCCGGCAGGTTAGCTTTTTTTGAGGCTAGCGGAGCTGGCTATACTCCTCCGTCTCATGACGTAAAGAAGAAATATGGCGCCCATCTCCTTCTGTTATTCCTCTCTCAGTGATATTGACAGAATCGCTGTTTCTGTGACGTCACATTTGTGCAACTTGTTCACATTTTTCTTGCAAAATGTCTTCTTATTCTTGCATTCTTGGAGAAGAGTTCTCAAAAAGTGCATCCCTATATTCACTGAATTATTCAAAAAGTCCATATAGTTCCGAACCTGATCGCTGGCTGGCTAACCAATAGTCAGCTATTTCCGTAATATGCTTTACATTCTGTTCATCGAGCAATGACGGTATCGATCGCGATAATCCACTTGTGTCAAGTTTAGTCCTCATTTTAGTAGCTAATCTGGACTTCTGTTTACTCTTTAGACAGCGCGTCTCTGTGAAGGTTGAACGCTTGCATCCAGCTTCCGAGGTCTTGTGCATTGAGCAAAAAAAAAAAAAATATTTAAAAAAAATTAAAAATCAACGCAATTTTTTTTTAACCGGCTAAAACTTCAGATTAAAAAGTTCAAAATTTTGATACAAACTTTTTGAATTTTTCTGAGGATTGTATAAATCTTTAAAGTTCTATTTATGTACATATGTATATGCTTTTGCACGATATTCTTATAAAAAAAAATACTTTAAAACCTTGCACATAATTGACAAAAATCACTATGTACTCATTTTTGCACTTCACTGTATGTCCAGTTTTCAAATTACCAAATATGAATGCCCAGTTTTTGAATGACTAAAATGTATGTCCCGTTACTTAGTAAATGTAAATTTTGTCTAGTTTTTGAATGACCAAAAATTAATTTCCGGTTTTAAATGATGAAGTTTATGTCCGACTTTTAAATGATTAACAATTTTTGCATAGTTTTTAAATTGCCAAAAGTTATGTCCAATCTTTCGATTCCTTAAATTTTATGTCCAGATTTTTAACTACTAAAATTTATGTCCAGCTTTTTAGTTATTAAAAATTTTGTCCAGTCTTTGAATGGCCAAAAATCTATATCTGGTTTTTAAAGCGTCAACGTTGCACGCAGTTTTAAAATAAAAAAAAAAAAGTATTTTTAAGTTATTAAAAAAGAAATGTCCAGGTTTTCAATTGCCAAAAAATATTTTCTTAATTGCCAAAAATTTTCTAATAATTTCCAAAAATTTTCTAAGTATTATAGCCACAAATAATATCTAGTTTCTAAATTGCCAAAAGTTAGGTGCAGTTTTTAAAATACCAAGTATTTATGTCCGGTTTTTTAATCACCAAAATTCAGGTGCAGTTTTATGATTTATACAAATTTATTTCTATTCCATGGGAAAAAATGTATGTTGGTTTCTAAATGATGAACAATTTATGTCCAGTTTTTAAATTGCCACTTTTTGAATTAAAAAAAAAATATGTTTTTAAAATTATCGAAAGAAGTTTATGCCCGGTTTTCAAATAACCAAAAAATTTATGTCTAGATTTTAAATTAACAAAGATTATTTCTAGTTTCTTATTTGCCAAAAATTGATGTCCAATTTCTGAACGACTGTAAATGTATGAACCAAAAATTATGTATATACAATTTTTAAAATTGCCTAAAAATTATGTAAATACAATTTTTAAAATCGCCTAAAAATTATGACAAGTTTTTAAATGTCTAAAAATTAGGGCGCAAGTGTGTCCTTTTTGAAGGTCAAAGAATTTCATATGTTCAGTTTTTAGTAGATGAAAAATTTGAGTTCAGTTTTTAATGACTAAAAACTAATGCGCAGTTTTAAAATTCACAAAAATACATGTCAAATTTATTTTCGGATTTTAATTTATCGTAACCTGTTTTTAGCTTTTCAAAAACTTTAGCGCAACCATGTCGAACGTTCCCACACACAAACACACAGCAAGAATTTGAATACCAAAGGTAGGTCTAAACGATTCTACTGACAAGCAGTTAATTTCTCATTCACCCCTCGTGCCCGGGGTCCTCATTCTCCATCGCATGTGCGAGTTAACTTTTAATATTTACTTGTACAGCAATTGTGAACTTTAGTCATGCCATTTGTAAAATTCTATTAAATCTGCACAACTTTGCAAATAAATGTCATTTACTGCTGACTTCTAAATTGTCAACTGAATAATACCAACAAAATAAGGGAGGCACTCCGAGAAAAGCCAAATGGAAAGGACAAACAAAGTGCGAAATTGCCGGATTTCAATTATACATATTTATGTATAAGAAAAAGCTACAAATTAATGTTTCACGAACCACTTGCACACTAACAAATAAGTGTATATACTATACACAGAAACTTTTACTTAACGAAGTACTACGCATATGTATGTAATTATGTATGTAAAAGAAAAACAGTATAGTATACAAGATACCCATAGCTATGCGCCAACTGATTTGATTGAATCTAACCTGTAAAGCGCCCAGAAGCAAGCACAAACGCTTTAACCACAAATGTTACGTATACGCAGTGGGGGAGCGCTGTGCTGTGCTATACTCAATGAGCAAAGAGGCGCATTGCAATGCCGCTAAAGAGACAAAGAGAGTAGTAGGAAACTGAAAATGAAGAAGTAGGCAGGCAGTTTAGCGGGTGGGTGAGCGGTTGACTGAAGTTTAGTGGCTGACTGCTTGGCTTGGCACTTAGAATGGGACTGAGAGGCACAGCCATCTGAATAGCAGCACCGTTGTTGTAGGGTCTAAAGTGACCAAATTTTCGTTGAACTTTTGTGCTAGCACTTCTTTGCCATTCATTAAATGTAGGCAGATCAAGTAGAGGTCAGGTTGGTGTTGTGTAGGAGCAAAAAATGAAATGACATTAACGGCTAACACTGAAAAATTTGTGAACTTAAGCTTAAAATCTGTATATATTTACATACACACGGCCGTATTTATGAAAACGGGACTCAAATATCTGTATTCGGCATATTGCTTGCTTTATTGCAAAGCCTGTAGTCGCAGAGAAATACAACAATAATCGAGCAACAGACTGAGGAAAGTAAAAACAAAAACGGCTGGGAATTTTTTCCTTTGACGCATACATATGTGCGCACTTTGCTGTAGCTAAAAGCACACAGCTGGTTTGGATACTGTTTAAATTTTTTATTTTATTTTTTGTCTATCTACTCCATCTTTCACCACTACTCACCTCAAGTCAACTCAACTCCATACTAGCTTTTGCACGCATCAAAGCATTTGTTGTGCGGTCATGGTCGTTCATTGTAGCTGCACAACACCTACATGTTCAACTACGTACTTATGCATACATACACATGCACATATATATGTATGTAAGCGTGTAGAAAATCGTTTGTATCTGACATAGTCGCAGTCACAGCCAACTGTCGTTGTAACTTGCTTTTTCTTCGTTTCACGTACAGCTGCTGTCATAGATGAGCCGTGCGAACCGTAGGATGTCCATATAAAAGCAAGAATGGAATGGCAAGTACGTGTGGGTGTTCAAAAAGGCTTATAGTAATGTAATTTCAATGCGCACAAGCATACACATATACACAAGCGAACGCTTTAGTTAGTAACAAAAAATAAGACAAACATTGTGCGATGCCAAAAACCGCAACATAGCACAGCGTTGAGTTCAGC